AGTGGTGCCCAGCAACAGGACAAGGGGCAGTGGGCACAAACCGAAACATAAGAGGTTTCAGTTGAATATGCTGAAGAACTTCTTTACTCTGAGGGTGACAGAGCACTGGAACAGGCTGCCCAGGGGGGTTGTGGAGTCTCTTGCTCTGGAGATATTCAGAGCCCGCCTGGACGATGTCCTGTGCAACATGCTCCAGGTGAACCTGCTTTAGCAGGGGGATTGGACTAGATGATCTCCCGAGGTCCCTTCCAACCCTTGCCATTCTGTGTGAGTCTGTAATCAGCACGTCCTCTGCCAGCAGCTGGAATGCAACATTCCTGCCAGCTAAACAGAGGAACTGTACTCTCTGGTGTGCATCAGACTGGTTGATCACAATGCTGTTAATTTGTGGTAATCATAGGGTGATCTGCGTTTTGCAAATTTCTCCTTTAGTTTGGCCTCACAGCTCTGCTTATGTGTTAGCTAGCTTGCTGGGCCAAGGTCTGGCCACTTCCAGAGTGGTCCTTTAATGAAGGCAGCAGAGCTGAGGGGCTGCAAACTCTTCTCGCTGGACACTTTAAATACACGGTGGCTTCCTGAGCAGAAAGGACAAGTTGCCACGCTGCAAAGCTACGAGAAGGAAATCCAAATGGATATAGGGAAAACCTCTGTTCACCTTGAGGGTGTTTAAGCACTGGGACAGACTGCCATCTTTGAAGACTGCCAGACCACAGCTGGATGAGTCCCTGAGCAAAGTGATCTTATGTTGAAGTTTGTGCTCCTCTAACAGTATGAATGGTCAGAAAAGCATAGGCTCAGCACTCTGACTCTCCATGGTGCAAGAGTAGGTTTTGTGGACTATCAGCATAGTTCAGCCCCATAATGAAACAATTTTGCAATTTCTTTTCACAAAAGGTGGGGGCTAGGTTGGAAAAATGCCTTTTGTGATGATACCACAGACATGAAATTTGTTACTGCTGACACCGAGTAATAGAATAGAATAATACAGACTATTTCAATTGGAAGGGACCTACACCGATCATCTAGTCCAACCGCCTGACCACTTCTGGGCTGACCAAGTTAAAGCCTGTTGTTAAGGGCATTGTGCAGAGGCCTCAAACACTGACAGGCTTCGGGCATCAACCACCTCTCTAGGAAGCCTGTCCCAGGGTTTCACCACCCTTTTGGTAAAGAAATCCTTCCTAACATCCAGTCTAAACCTCCCCTGGCGCAGCTTTGAACCTGCAGCATCTTTGAAAATGCTAAAATATCAAGTCCTGTAACGAAAGTAAAACCATTAATGCTTATAAACAAAACTGATTTTATTTTAAGTCTTTCTTCTTTTCTTACCTAGGCTTATTCCATTGAAGAGCTGCTTTTGTATTGAACAAAACAGGAAGGAGTCCTAAAACCCGGGGAAGTAACCAAGAGGCTCTGTTTCATTTAAGTCTGATCTGGTAACCGTCTAAAGGGCCATTTAATCCCATCCATCCAATTCAGTCCATTTGTACAGGTAAGGGCTTACGATACCATCTTGTGAGCCATAATTGCTTGATTACAAGAGTAGAAGAGGGAAAACAGGACCTTTCCCTGGCAGTGCTCAGATCTGAAAAACTGGACATAGGGCTTACTAAGGTATGTCTGTACATACAAGGATTTCTGTATAGCTATACTATTGCTTTGGACCCGCTGACTTTATTCCAACATTTTGGAGGTGGTTGTTACAGCAGCCAATACACTGTCTTTGCTAAGCTACAGCATCTCGGGCAGAATCCTAAAATTGTGCCATAATTCAGGTTGTAAGGGACCTCAGGAGGCTTCAGGTCAAACCTCTCACGCAAAGCACGTCCGGTTACAACAGGTTGCTCAGGGCTTGTCCAGTCAAGTTTTGAAAACCTCCAAGGCTGAAGATCCCACACCTTCAGTGTTTGACTACCCTCATGGCGAAAACAATTTTCCTTCTATTTAATCAGACTCTCCCTTGTTGCAATTTGTGTCTGTTGCCTCTTGATCTAGCATTGTGCAGCTCTGAAGAGCTTGGCTCCACCTTTTCTGTTCCTCACCATTAGGTAACTGCAGACACTAATAAGCTCTCCCCTTGGGCTTCTCCTTTTTTAAGGCTGAAAAAGCGCAGCTCCCTCAGCCCCTCCTCGCACGTTGTGTCCTCCAGTCCTCTGCCAGACTCGCTCCAGTATGTCAGTGACTTTCTTGCACTGGAGACTCCAAACCTGCATGCAGCTCTCCAGATGTGGTCTCACAAATGCTGAATAGAGGGGTCTAATAAATTCCCTGTACTTTCAGCTGTGCTTTTGTAAATGCAGCCCAGTACGCCATTGGTTTTCTTTGGCTCAAGGGCACACTGCTGATACATATGCAACTCTCACCCCTGGCCCTGGCTCCTTCTATTCTATTGCAAAGCTGTTCCCCACCCCCCTACCTAGTCTGAACTGCTGCATGGGGTTAGTCTGCCTCAGATGCAGGACTTTGCATTGAACTTCATGAAGTACCTGGCAGCTCACTTCTCCAGCATCTCGAGGTCCACCTTGAAAGGCAGTCCTGCCCTCCCTGTAACAACTGCCCACCCCATGGCCCAGGAGGGCAGTGAACATATGTTACCACAAACCTCCACAGACCCAGATTTGGTGTGGTCCACAAACTTGCTGAAAGTGCACTCTATCGTGTCCTCCAGGTTGTTAATAAAGACATTAGATGGTATTGGTCCCAATATCGATTCCCTAAAGAAGAATGCCACTAGAAACTGGCTGCCAGTTTGACTTTGGATGGATGGCCGGGCTCAAAGGATGGTCATCAGCAGTACACTTTTCACCTGTTGTAGTTAGTTATCCAGTCCACGTTACCGATTTGACTATAGGTTGTTTTGAAAAAAATAAATAAAAAAACCAACAGAAGAATCCTTTTATTTTCAAAGTTTGATCAATCCATGAAAGAAAGAGCAGCACATTTCTGCAAAGCCCAAATAACTGTACAGCTCATTCTGCAGATAGATTTTTCTCACCAGAAAGGAAGTGCCTGTTAAAGAGAAGAAACCAGGAAGGGAGCCAGGACCAATGGTGGTCAGCATGTTTCTGCTGGCTGGTACCTTTAGAAACACATTACACCCTTCACACTTCTCCTTCCAGTGTTGCTCTCCTTAAAAAAAAATCACTGAACACCGAGGTGAGGATCCATCTAACCACAAAGGACATTTTGGCATCCCTGTTGGATCCCATGTCAGGGCTGCCCTGTATATTTTGATTTTCATTCACAGGTCCTATGGAAGAAATGGAGCAAAACTCTCCACCGGGGAATGCTGCCTGGCTGTATGAGCAGCCACCTTTCACTACACTTTGGAGGAAATCAGGTTGTCTTCCAGTGAGTTCCAGTCACCAAATGATTTTATTGTTACAATACGATGAAGCAATTTTTATTTTGTGCACTTCGTGGTGCTCAAAATGTTAGTTTTCACAGTATAGAATGGATGTGACAGCATTTGTCATGGAAGCACTCAGCAGAGTATGTTGCAACTTCATTTAGTTGTGCTGTTTTATGAAGTTATGCAGTAAAATGTGCCAGCAAATTATGTTGTATTAGTTTCTTTCCGGTGATTAACTAAACATTCATATAATAAATAGCAGCTAACTACAAGAAAGAGATTTATTTGTCACAGAGTTAGAAGAATGTCAAACTTTTCCCATTTCATGTAAAAAGGCAGAGGAAAAAAATACTTCTAAAATGACTTTGCAACATGTGCTTTATTTTAAGTCATTACTGAATCAAAACTACACAGTATACTCTTTTAACATACCCTACCCACTCAATGATTTTTTTTTTCTCAATAATTTTTTTAACATGGAATGAAACTTACATTGCAATTGTAAATTTTCATGCTACAATGTTCTCTAATGAGCCATTTGTGTCACTAATAACAGTAATTTAAGAAAAAGGCCATTTTTCAAGCTCATATGTATGTCTATATTTGGGAACTTAAAAAAAACCCGTCTCGGATGTAAAAATGTGACTGGGAATATGTAAACATTTTCATATACCTGAAACACTGGAAGAAGAATATCAGCTAACAGCAAAACAACGGTTGCCTTAAATCATCGAAATGGGAAAAAGCATGTCATGGGGAGCGGAAAGAAGCACACACTATTCAGTCTTTAAAGGGTTATAAGAAATGAAGTAGCTCCTTAGGTCATTGAGTTCACTTTCTTTTCTCATCTAAGGGAAAGCAGTAACTTTGAAGAGAATGGCCCAGCAGAACACCCCAATAATTCACCATAATTATTCTAGCCATTAGTTAACCTTGACAAAGTGTCAAGTTTCAGTTGCTTTTTTTTTTTTTTCCTGAGAAAAGTCATTGATGTTTGGTGGAAATGTCTTCTGTGACTGTACAAATAAAATAAGGCATTTAAAGAGATTTTTACTTGTTTTCTTTTTGCTGACAGAGGCTTGTCCACAGTGTCCTTTGTACATCAAAACCTCTGCTTTTCTACAAATGGGTATGGCTAGAATGTCTTCAGTTCCCACTGCGGCCCTGGGTCTTGGGTGTCCTGAAGGCTAGTCAGCGTCCCATTACTGTAGCTTGAAAGTCAGTGATGTACAACAGCATATTGCACAATCCAATCTATATGGCTCCAGAAAGGGTTAAGAAGGTACACTGGAGTCATCTGCGGGTTCACTCCTTTCTTTTCTCTTTAAGGGGTAATGATTGCCTGGAAAATTAAATTAGCCAGACAAAGATGCAAACTTTTTGTTGATTAAATTACAAAGCAGTCCCCAGATTGTAGAGGAGTGGCACATTAAAAACAACAAATCATCCAACCTTCTTCACTGTTGATCCTCAATTTGAAAGGCAGCATGGATTCCTAAGGCCGTAACTTCCAGGACTCCTTCAGTGAAAAATCATTGCTACCTAACTATAAAAGGCTTAGCTCTTAAGAGAATATTGTGCTTTTTTTTTTTTTTTCCTTTAAAATTCAGATGAAATCAACTTGATTCGCAGTGTGACACCAGAGATATCAATTAGTTTTTTCCCTAGTCCACTTGATCATAGTCTCTGGTGAGCGATACAAGAATATTAGTTTGGCATACAGGTCTTCTTCCAGTTCCAGTTCTCCAGTCTCTCGCACTAAGAAAATGTCAGTACACAACTTCAAGATTCGGTCTACATTGGGTAGCTCCTCAAACATGATGGAGTGAGAGATCCCACTGAAGAATTCACGGACGAACTTCCCTATCACCAGGACAACTGAGGCATACAGTCCCATGATGCTGAAAAGAAAGAAAGGAAAGAGTTCAAATCATGCCTTGAAAAAGGGCCAGCCAGGTGTGAGGGAGCTCAATCTGCACGTGAACATTAATTTCTAATTAGGATCTTGTTTCTGCTGTGCTGCAGGACGAAGGAAAATAAGGTCTCTTCAAACACCGCAGAAATCTGGGAACATAAACAGCTGAGGCTGCTGACTTAGATGGTTTAACCCCTGTCGCTGATGGTCTCACGTCCTGTCTGCTACAGCTTGGAGGTCACAATGGAAATCTGACAACTCTGGCTGCTAAAGGCAAATGACCCGTCAGGTTTCATATTTAATATTTTTTATTAAAATATGTGTAACTGGTGACAGACTAACGTTTACTCGCCCTCCCCTGATAATCCTCCTATGAGGAATTCTCCAAAATCATACCAGAAAGGCGTATCACTTGGGAAGGCACAGCCTCTTGCCTTCCTCTGTCTGTTGAGATGTATTTCATAATGGTGTCACACCCAGGGTCCTGGCAAGGTCACCAAAACCAAGAAGAGACCTGTAGCTAAACTAACATATTTTGAATGATTTTACTTCAATAGGAAATTGGTGCGAAGGGTGCTTCTGCCTTTTTTCCCACTGGGGAGCAGGTTTCAAGGGCAATACTATTCCTTACAAATATGAAGCTTTCAATAGGTAACATAAATTTGAAAATTTCACAAACCCCCTTTTCAAAATGTTGTAATGCTCAAACACTACAACAACAAAAAAGAAATGAAACGCCCAAACCACAAATAGTCACCTCCACTTTTATCTTATCTACATTATTTTAATTTTATGTAAAGATTCCTTCTTACCCATAACCAGCCAAGAATCCAAGGCTTGGTGGACTGACTTTATCACTGAATATGAAGAGTTCAAGGCTCTCTTCAGACGTTTTGTATCTTTTTCCAAGCTGATTCAAAACCCACCACTCACGAACTCCCTCATCAGACACATTTTTGACCAGGGAAACCGTAATGTTTTCCCATCTGCAGTCTATTGAAAAGAAAGAAATGTTAACATATATAGCAAGAATTGCAAAAGTCAAACTGTGTTGAGCCAGATACTTCAAGCATGTGCATGATAAAATGACTGAGCGATGTAGGAGTAAATGTTCATTATAATTCTCCTAAAACGCATTTTACATTATTTCTGTACAAAAGTATAATATCTGGACTTCTGTGTTTTTTGTTCTGCAAATCTCATCTGAATGTGCATTAAATAAATAAAATGTTTTGTATCACCTACATTTTCTTCTGTACAACTGTCAAATCATTTCAGTATGTTCAGGCCAAAGTATCAATGACAGCCTGCGTGACTGCATTTCAGGCCTAAAGAAACACATTTAACCTGGAGGGGTAGTGGTCAGCATATACATTAAAACCCTTTTGAAGAATCTCATATTACGAGTTCTTTAGGACAGGACCTGACTAATGACAGCACTTCTAACTTATTGCTACTCGTAGAACTAGGTTCATCCTCAAGAATTATGTTTCCCAATTAATCTAATCATGCTCACTGAATCTTGAACAGTAACATACTACCTAGTACAATAATTAATGTACTATGTAGTACTACTACTACACCTGAGCACCACATTTAACCTCCGTTGAGCAGAGTGTTCTTAGATAAAGACTTGTTCCTACTCTTCCAAACCAACAGGTTTTTCACATGCGCATATGTGCACATGAGTGCACATATTCCATACGTCTGTGAGTACCTGTATGCATTCTGATTGGCTAATATTACTCTGAAATTCAATGATTTATCTAGACTGGATTCTTTGTAGCCAATAAGGAAGGCATAGCTTTAAAATAAATAAATAAATAAATAAATCACTCAGTGTCATTATTTAAGCTGAGGAGCTCCATTTGCAGACGTGCAGCACTGTTTGTGTTGAGGTAGCAGGGAGATGCCAAGAAGTGAAACTTGTCATCACTTCCTCAGAAAACAAGGGAAAGCAGCTCCAGAAAGCAGACTCGAAGGAAAGGGGCCGGACTTCATCCTTAGAGTCCTTACTGTTCAACAAAAAGCTAAAATACATCCAGATGCATTTTCTGTCTTATACTGTATTACCTCATCTCTCTCCAAGCTTGTAGGCACCAGGTAGAAACCACTGTAAGTGCATTTCAGCCTGAGGTGCCCCATAACAGCTCAGTGAACGTGCAAGTGTCAGCACTGCGTTGCACTTCTTTCACCCGTACTCTGTTTTCCATGGCCTGGACACATACCTGTCAATAGCTGCTTTATGGGTTTTGCCAGAGAATCACTAGGAGCCTTGATGTAGTACGGGTACACTGTCTCTAATGTTCTGGAAAAAATGAGAAGGCAAATATTTCATATTTTTATACCCCTAAAATAATATAGAAATACCTAACAGGGCTGTACACAGTTCTCAGTAATTCTTGGCGTAAGCTATGATTTTATAGTGTTCAGATGTCACATCTGAAAGTTAGCTGGATTTATGAACTATGTTCTGTCAGTACTTCAGCAGGGAGCTCCGTCCATAATGTCACCATTCACACGCCATGAATCCCACACACCTGGGGCATGTGTGTTTGCAAGGAATGTAGACTTTAAATTTTGTTCCCCTTTTTAACAAAGCTGCTTTTATAGTCAGCTATATAAGCAGCACAAAGAAAGGCAACACATCACCGGTAGTAAACAAACCAGAAAAATACGTAGCTAGAAAAATATGTGGTGAGAACAGTTATTACTTCAGAATTGTGAGATGTTTCGATAATAACACCTGAAAAGATTGAGAATTTTTGCCAGCATCTTTAATTGGGAAATATTTTCACAGTTTGTAGGAGGATTTCAAACTTAGGAAGAAAGCTGTTTGTAAAAGTTCTTTCACTGGGCTCAAAATTAAATCACCTTAAGTGGGAATAAATTACCAGCATCCAGAGCAACAGACATTTTATTATGAGGAGAGATACTGTCCTAACTTTTTCCTCAAACGACTGAAAAATTCTAGGGAAGGGGAGCTCTCAGGGAAGTCCTGTGACACTTTGCTACATTGCATACACCAGGCTGAGGAAGAACAGAGGTGGCCAATTTAAAACTCCTCCTGATCACTCCAGCAGGCCCAAAAGACAGCTAAGAGCTCAGCAGCTAAGTTGTCACAGCAGAGGTGGTGGCAGAAAGCTCCCCGCTGAAGTAGTCAAATGGCTACTAGCTGCCACAACCATTTTTCTTTTAGGACAAAGTAAAAAAAAAAAGCTTGAATCAATAACTTTATTGTAACACAGGCAAATGCAGGTATATCTTTAATGTTACTGCTTGCCTCCTGCAAAGAGAGAATTACGAATTAATTACCCCTTCCCACAAAAGAGCAAAATCTACCCTTTTTGGCACTACATCACCCTAGGAAATATTTCTGTATCCTCACACAGCAGAAGAGAGACACAAAATATTATTTTTTAAATGCAATGATCAGATGTGCAACAACAGTCTGTTTGGATGTACACGTGTGCGTGGGTGCAGAAAAATGGCTATGCACAGAAAAGACAAATCTCATTTCCACCTCCTAACAGATATGAACCTCTCAGAGTTTTCACTGTCCCAGTCGGCCTCAGCTTTAACTTTTCAACTCTTGTGGCCACAAATCAGATCAGGTGGCCTTCTGGGATGATGTGTTGGCTTAGCAGTATTTAGAGACTACTTCTGTAAAGTAATCCCCAGCGAGCAGGCAGAGGAGGAAGAGCCAGACTCCTTTCAAATCTGAAAGGAGGCACCACTGCTGTTAATGCTATAAGGCTATATCCATAGGATAAAGTTTGATATTCATATGAAGAGCATGCTCCTTCTGCCTTGTGAATTTCCATTACAGGAAGAGATCTGATGTCAGAAACGGCTGCAGATGTTACCCTTTGACCGCAGTGATTTAACACTTCCTTGCCAATCTAATACTATTCAAGAATAACAATGAGAAATACAGTCTGGATGGGTATTTAGAACCAAAAAAAAAAATCATCAATGCAACATCTTCACGTCAAGTTGAGCTGAAGTAACTCAAAGGAGGGTTTAACTGTGAATACACTGTAATGAACTTGTGCTTATCCAATAAATCAAAGAAAAGTAACTAATAGCTTCACCATGCTTGTTGGTGGTGTTCCAGCATTCATGGTCTTCTCAGTCTACATTTATCATAGGAAATAAGCTTTTACCTTTAATGTTACCATTATGTGCTGTTGGCCTTTGTGAACAAGGCTCCAAAGTTATTAGAGGGCACAGATGGGCAGAGAAATGATACAGTTGCACAGGCCTGACCTCCTTAGGAAATTAGGTTTAAAAATGGGAAGGTTTGCATATAAATAAGCAAAGAAAATAACTTACACCTTTTCCAGTTGCTGTCCAGACATCATTATAGCAATATCTCTTCTGGTGTTCTCCGGTAGGACGAAGGTAAGTTTATCTGATGCTATTTCGGCTTTGGCACCAAGAGTGAGATTTCTGTTGTAAGTAAAAGGGAAGATACATTGTCAACCTACAGTGAGAGCATAACCTGAACACTTGTTTGCCGAACGCTAGAGCTACTTGTCTGACTAGTCCAACTGCATTGACCCTGGCTATCCCAGCCTTTGCTAAAGCAAGCATCATGCTACCTGTACCTGAGATGGTGTGCTTTCTCACAGAGGATATGTAACAGCCTTAAAGGTGTGTTTTTCTGACTATGCCTTTGCATGTATTACAGGACAATGACAACAGATTAGTAGTTTTACTAGTTACATCAGTCAGAGCAGAATGGGAAAGGGAGCATGCCTGCTTCTGACTTTAGGCAAAGGGACTGTCTGTGTTACCACACATTCTGTGCCAGGGCAGCTAAGGATGCTGCAGTCAACTACAGCTTCCCCAAAACCCACCTCAGCCCAGCAGAAATATGTGGATAACAGGCTGATGGGACCCCCATGCTTCCCTCCAGTCTTCACGCCAGCTGCAGAATACAGTTTGGGGCAGGATCGGCTTTTGCACAATGCCTCGTGCCATGCCTGGCGGTCAGGATGCGGCAGCTGGGTGAGGCAGCTCCTGGGCTGCTGAGGGCTGCAGAGAAACATCCCTGGCAGATGATGTGTGAAGGCAGAAAGCATGTATGCCACCTGAGTGACACAAATGGCCCATCTTACAGCTGCTTGTGGTCTCCTGGCCTAGACGAAAGAGAGCAGTTTCCCTTTGCAGAGAAAAAAGTGGAAGGTCACTGTGGTAAGGCTTCACCACTTTCAGTCATTCAACGGTCAGAATGTAATCCACAGGATATAATTTGAGGGTGAAAAAGGTCTCTTTCAACTCATGTAGGAATGTTTGTAGTTAAGCAAGCATATGGGCAAACTGAATAGCAGTATTAAAAATTAATATGTCTCAGAAATGATGGAGTGATGTAATTCACTGGCTTATACTGTATGCTTCCAGGAAAGTAAGTGGGGTCAAATAAAGTTGGATTAAGGGTGCAGATTCATTGCAGGCCTATTTTTGACTGTGGAAGGACTGACCCAGCATATTCAGAGCTCCCCCAGTGATTCAGCTGACCTCCTTCTTGTCTACAGTCTTTTGCTGAGGGTTGCTATAACAATCCAGCACCTACTTCCAACAAAACAGGTAGATACTGGGGCTGCAAAGGTACTTAATTCCCTTGGAGTGATGACATAAATCTAATTTAGTTAAAGTTTAAATTTAATCCAGCAGTTTACAGGTATCCCAGCTGGCAGACAGTAGCCAACAAACCACCTCGGTGGACTGGGTGTGCTCTAGCCCGCATGGAACTACTTTATATTCTAGGTTGTCTTTTGTAAAAACTTCATTGTAAAGTAATAGTTCACTGAGGCCAAAGGAACCACAAGAGGCAAAAGTCTTGACAAAATGGATCTGTGTCATTGTTATGCTACTTGCATGACAGTCTCTGAGTACATGTGTATTTAAAAAACAGTTTGTGTCCGTTCCAGACTCGCTTAGTAAGAGGACCAAGCACTTCTGCTTGTATTGCCTCATCATTTTTCCACTTTAACTAGGTCTAAATATTCAGTCCCCATAAATGCTAACAAGATTGTTGTTTGGGGCAGTTCATTTGAACACCTCCATCTAAAACTGGCTAAAATTTTCTTACTCTTCGTTCCTTCCCCTCAAGTCCCACTGAAAACTCCATCCTTCTCTTTTTATTTTTTGACAACTGCCAGCAACGATGTTTTCCTGTGTGACAAAGGTCACTTCTCTCTGTCTGTCTCCCTCCCACTTTCAGTCTTTTTCCTCTGCGGTATAATAGAATTTGCTGAAAATCTAAACAAAAAAAGCAGTGTGGAATTGTTCTGCTAAGCGAACACTTGGCAAATGATCCATCAGCCTCCTAACGGCCACGTTAATTACCTTTGAATGCTCCATGAAAGAACTACAGTGAACTCAGCTGAAAAATCCAGCAGTCCCTGTATCATTTTCTCTCTGCTGGGAGGGCTGATGGTCCATAAAGAGTTTGAATTTCCCTCTAGATCTGCTAGAGTTATATCTTCTTTTCCATAGCCCTCTAGAAACTGCAAAGCAGCCTGCAGGTGCAGAAGAGGAAAAGAGAATTTCAGCGCGGTGATATTCACAAGACACGGAGCCCCATTTCCCAGTCAGGCAGAATTGTAAAGGTTTGATTAACTGTAAGTGCAGTGCTTTGCACTAATTGCTTTTTTCAGGTACCAGATGGGAAGGGGAATAAACAATGTATAGCTGAGCTAAGACAGCAAAACAAAAATGGCCCTGTTGTTTGAAGAATGAAAGTGGCCTGAAAGTTCATCAGGTAAACTCTGTAGAGTCTATTTAAACTGAAGTTAAAATTCTACACTGTCTTTTGTTAAGCATCTTTCTGCATAAAAAGATGTCTGCAAAGGATAAGGCAACTTGAAACTGGTAACTTCCAAAGTGGATTAAGATTACAATATTGCTGGTATACTACATGGTCTATTTGATACGAACTAATATAAAAAAAAGTTAATTCTTGAACGGGCTAGAAGCAAGCACTTCTTTTAAAGTTATATCTGACCAAACGCCAGTTACTTCAGTAGTGAAACAGCTTCTACTTATTACTAGTCTTTATCCTGTAGAAACTTGTAATAACTTTGTGCATGTTGCACCATGAAATAGTGAGACTATGTTTAAATTTTGACATTTTAATGTCAAAACTTTTCTAGGCCATACCCACTTTTTTTTAACAGCACCACATCTCCTCACTGGGAGCTGAAAGCTGTGTGTGCTATAGGAAGGAGCACGGGGTTTGAAAGTGCCAACACTGTTGTGTCCCCACAGCACGGTTGTTCTGGCAGTACAACACCACCATCACTTCTCCCGAATGTTTGTGTCATTTAGAAGGGAGGTTTTTATTCAAGCGACAGGACAACTGGGGTTTCTGTCTTCCACAATTTTGTGCAAAGATGTCTCAATTAATGGTAACTTGTCTCACCATAACCCAGCCCTGTCCTGACAAATGATCTGTCTGAACCTTTTCCCATGCAAACCCTCTTTGTGGAAACATCTTCCAAATTATGGCAGTGCTGCTGACCACTTATAACTACACAAACAAAACTCACAAAGGACCTCCATGGAAACATGCACGCATTTTTAAGTAATGAGGTATTCTACATTTCACTTACAGTGTTACCCCTATAGCTTCCCAGAAATGCAGCGAAACCAGTCTGATTCAAATCCTTGAGCTGACTCTGTTGAGCACTCATTGTAAAAATAGGCTGGGAAATGAAAAAACACGCACTTGTCACATTTACTTCACATCAGCTGCTACGTACACAGTACAGCATCCTGTGCATCACAGCCCAAGACAATTACGGCACCCAGTTCAACAGGAGCAGGTTACGATCTTATTCCACTAAGCAAGCTACCTCCAATTGTCTTATACTTACCATGTGGACCTGTAGGCAGTTATCTGAGTGTACCTGATGTAGGATAATTTATTCAGATTCCACTGCCAGTAGGTTCTGGTTTTAACTTGCAAATGAAGATAATATTTTACATCAGCGATAAACTAACGTGTTTTCAAACCCAAAAGGGATCATTTGTGGGAGCTTGCCTGACCTCTTGCATAAGGCAGGGGAGTTCAATTCGATGAAGGGAATAGGAAAGAGTACAAGGAAATACAGTGCAAAAACAGAGTTTGCTTTTAGTCTGTCTTCTTTTTTACCTGATAACCTCCTAGAGTTATTGTGATTGATACATCTAGAGGCTTGTTGGTGATGCCTGCAACAGATTTGATTAAAGACATGAAGAGCAGTGGGAACCAGACAATACAAATCAGCAAGACGATAATCATGCCACCCATTCCATACTTCACAACTTTCTTTTTCTTCTGGCCTCTTGGTTGGGGATATCTCTGCAAAAGCAAACAGCAACATGGTAATGTCTCTTCTATCAGAGGTACACTTGGTATGATTTGATGGGTGAATATATAATTACTTTAAGGCTTCCCATCCTCTGTGGTAATTTTCTAGCCATTGTCAGGCCAGTTATTTCGAGATTTTTAGCCAAACCTGAACAGACACTGAATTTCTGGTGACGACAGAGAAAAGTACCAAATGAACCCATCTCAGGTGTGTGTTGGTGTGAAAAATATTGTATAACTCTGTGGTTTTGATTCTTCACAACCATAAAGAAGGGAAAAATTGGGTAGGGTAATTCAAATTTTTTTTGTCTGAATGAGTGCAAGCATGAACTCACAGGAGCCAAACGTAAAATAATAGCAGCAATAGTGTCACAACGATTTGTTCAAAAAAATGATATTGGGAGTGACCCAGTTTCTGGTATTTGTCCTTCCAAAAAGTTTTCTCTCAAAGCTCCTTAAGGCAGGATTCTTCTCACAGAGCTTGAAATGCTACAAACTGTATTTCAGGGGGAAAAAAAAAAACATTTGTTTGCCAGCAATTGACATGCACAATCAGTGGGGTTGTCTGATACTGCACCACCTCCGCATTCATTTCACACCTCACATGCAGTATTTCTGAGAGTTGTTTACAGGCTTGATCCAATCTGTTTCTAGTGCATCCCACACCAACTGCATTTAAATAATGTTTAAAGTTTTGTTGCTGTTCCTAAAGTCTTGACACTGCTGATGTAACATCTTTCCCTCTCTTCACTTCTTAGACCAGAAGTGACTCTGCTCTTATCCTTCTCTTCAAAGCAGATCACACGGCGCGTCTGTTCTGCCTTGTCCATAACTCCTACCCTCTGTTACTGGCCTCATGATTGAATACTTTAATAGTTTCACCATCCTGCAATGTGCCTTACCATCACTGTAATTTATTTTGGTGTATTCTCTTATGGGATTTAACTCCGCACAGTGTTTTAGGATCCTGTCTTTCATGCACTGTATAGTGCATGTGCAAAATAAAGATGCATTGTATTGCACCGCACCTCAAACACATGCCAGGAATCTGGCTTTCAGGAAATTGTTCTTGCTTTACGACATGAATTCAGAAAGCCCTGGGAGAATATTAAATTTGTAATACAATGCTATATTTAAAATGAATTAGTTACTTTTCAAAAGCAGTGTATCGTGTCATTTGTCTTGCACTACAGAACACTGTTTTCATTAAAATATCGTATCAAGATCACCAGGGGTATATTATTTGTCTGTATGAGATTAGTTCAGGCACCTTTAACGACGTTACAGAACAGCTCAGGGAGCCTCTAGCAAAGTACTTAGGCATACCACTCAATGTGAGAGAGAGAGAGAAAATCAAAGTACCTCGAACAACACTCATAAAGTCATGGGTAGTTACTTTGCTAAACAGCATTAGCACACACATGCTAGCTTAGATGTGGAAATCTTCCCATGCTAGATCTATGCTACATATAATGCAGAGTGATCCTGTTGTAGCATAAAAAAATGCAGTGAGATGGACAGTCAAAGTAGAAGAGGATTATTCTTTCTCTGACTCCTGAAGCCTCTGATGACACTCCATTCAGGGCAGAAATGGAAGTCATACAAAAAAAGCCTATGTACAAGATTTGTGTGCGCTTCAGCTCTGATTTAATCTAAGTGACATACTTGGAAAGTAATTGCCATTAAGAGACAGGATTATAATAAAAGTAGAAATACGTCAGTAACACTTAAAAATACAGCCGTTTCATTGCAGATGTACAATTTCTGACTGGTTGGGTCACTCTTAAAAGAATGCTTAATTTCTTTTTCAAATTGGCAAAATAAGCAAGCATATGGTTGCAATCTTTATAGCGGTTATAAGGAATCCAGAATTTGCAAGTTTAATTTGAACCGAAGCTTAAATGATTTAAAGAGGCTGAAATTTCAGTCAGACAAATGGTGGGTTTATCTGGCCTGTGGTTCAGTTCTGGATGTGGGGGGGGGGACTCTCCCAAGATAAAGGAGCCAGCTGAGTTCCCTCTGCGGTTCCATGAACGAGGTGTCCTGACCGACACCGTGGAGGCATGAGGTCTTCCTTCTCCTGACCTTGCTCTCCAGCTCCAGTTTCCTTGCTACTGCGGGTTACTCATTTAGTTGTTATGGACAAAGTGAGCCGGTACAAATACTATGACTTTCAACCCTGGCCTTGAAACTCAAGCATGCAATTAAGCTAACAGGGGCATGCTTGTGGAGTTCACGTTAATGGTGGAAAAATCAGCTAGGCACAAAAGAGAAGCCATTTGAAATTTCACTTGCGGTGACTGCCAACTAACATAAAGTACCCAACAGTCTGAATATTTTCTGAACATAAACACCAGGTGTATCTTCTAGCAAACTGCCTTTATGGTGGATTTCCTGATTATTTAGGGACTCGTGATTATTTTTCTTCATTTCTGCATGAGGGAGAGGAGGCCTGGATCACTCGTATGGGGCTTCCTTACTTTTTCTGACTCTCGCCAACACTTCAGGATGAATATATGAGCATAGATATCTTCAACACAGATCCAGCTGGAAAGACTGAGAGTGGTATCAGTCCAAACCCAGTCCATTACTGCTCTCAGCTCGGTCAAAAATGGAACCAGGCGGAACCTGAAGGGGGATGACAGCAGATAACTCGTCAGAAATGGGGGCATGACATTAAACGAGCACAGTCAGTGTATATATGACAAGAGGGAGAATTAAGCCAATGTTAAAAGACAGTTTAATGGGAGATTTTGCAAACACAAATACAATCATATCACGAGACTGCATGGCTAGTACTGATGTTTTGGGGGTGGTATCTTTTGTCATAGCTCATGTTCCTCTAGATCTCCCTGTCAGGCCATAAACACTCTTTTGCATCATTATGCCCAGTAATTATGATTGAGCCACTGATGGAATGGTAGAAGAGAGACTTTCTCATATCCCCAAATTCCTCTGAGCTGGGAACCTGGGATCAGTGTAGAGAAACATCCTTTCCACAGGACGGTGGGAATTTGTTTTATACATCCTTATACCAAGTGGCGCACAGCTTCTTTGCAGTAGGTGGGCAGTCCTCAGCTGCATATGGACTTGGGCATTATGACTCAGGATTAAGCAGCAGCAGAAGGTGGGCTAACAGGAAACCAACATGCACATAGCAGCTGTTCACAGTGCATCCTTCCCTTTACTAGTCCCAGACTTTTCTGCTTGGCCAGGTCACAAAGACTATTTCACATAAAGAAAGGTTTCTTCTGTAGCTTTTCCTACTGGAATGCAACACGCCCATAATGAAAATATTGGGAAAAGGCTGAAATTATTCCAGCTTTTCTGTGAAATTTGAATATGCTTTGAACTGCCTTAACCACAACATCATGGTAACAGTATACGTGGAGGGTGGGGTGTACCTCCTTAACACCACCTTTCACTCTGAGGTGATGCTGTGCCTGTTGCTTGCACTAACACCCCTAACCCCTGAAGAGTTTCAAATGTGCAGCACTTCTCAAAAGGTACACAAAGGCAACATTATTTGATGCATAGCTCTTGTTTCTCATGTCTATTGTCTTTCCCGTTATTCTTCTCACCTGCTGAGGTAGAGCCTGTAGACCTGCTCCAAAGATCACTTTGGGGTCTTTTTTACTACTTTTTAGCACCGCAGAGCAAGTAACGTTACCTGTTTTCTAGCACAATGTGAAGCCCCTATCTCTGTTCACAGAGGTGTTTTCTTAGAAGTGTTAAAAAACGTCTCTTCCATAGGGGCCTGAATGGCTAACTGGTGTGTCAGGCTTCTGCATTCAGAGTGGGAGACTGATTTTTCTGAAATTTGCATTCCTGAAATTGATTTTTTTGCAGACATATGGCATATACAGAGTGTGCTGTGCAAAATTTACTGTCTCATTTCTAGCAGCTGGTGAAGAGAAATCATGAATAACCCCAGCATCTCATAACAGATCCTTACTTCACAAAAGAAAGGAGGAGGGCAGTAGGTCTGGACTTACCCTTGAAATAAGAACAGATTGACATAGTTATAACTTTTTGTGAGGAAGTTGCCAAGAACACGAGTTGGATATCCGCAGCGTATCTGATATGCTGATAAGCCAAAATAAACACATTTCACAAAATACCAGAGCTGGGCAACTGTGTTCTGGCTGAATTTCCTGTAATGGAAAAGACAGATAAAGGAAAATGATGAGCTTTGTATCTGTGTATGACCAAACTAGACTGAAATGTTTTCTGCTCCTGGCAGTTCCCCTTTCCTGAGCTCCTGCGAAAAGCCCTTGGTTTCTGACATCACTGCAGAATTAAAACAGTATTTGAAATATGCTGGATGAGAAAGTCTATAAACAGCATCTGTTCTCACCTCAGGGTCACAGGAGAGAGACTGGGAATAGGCTTCCCAAAGAGTGAGGGCTCTGGGACAGTGCCTTCTCCTCAGGGATGCTAGAGGTGCCTTGCTGCCCAACACAGGCCAGTCTGCCCTCGGCCCTCGCGATAGTACATCCCTCTGTGAGCCCGGGGTAGACACGACTTCTGGCTTTTCAGAGGGCTGACATCTGGACTGAACCTGGGCAGCATTAATGGCTATCTGTGTTCACAGGGGCACCTCCAAGGTCATCAAGTCATGCAGGAATTTAAGTTGGAGTGACCTCTGAAGACCATCTTTTTCACCCTCCCCTGCTTGAATCAGGTCTAATTACACCAAATTGTAAAGGGACCGGTCCAGTTGAGTTTTGAATACCTCTGAAGATGGGGATCCCACAACCTGTCTGGGCAACCAGCTCCAGTGTTTGACTACTGTCACGGTGAAAAGATTTTTCATCGTATCTAACTGGAATTTCCCTTTTTTTCCAATTTGTGGCTTCTTGTCTTATCTGAAAAGAGCTTAGCTCCATCTTAACGACCTCTTAATAGGTAGCTGAAGACACCTCTTTGTTTTCTCTTCTCCAGACTGAACAAACCCTCTTCCCTCAACCTCTCCTCCCATGTCAGACGGTCCATCCCCCGACCATCTTGGTGAACATGTGCCACTTCTGACTGCAGTTCAGTAGCACAGTGAAACTGCAGGAGATACCTCATGATGGACAGGATTTGTGAGCTAGACATGATCCAATATTTTCAATTACATCGTGCAAAACTATTTTCATTCAGAAATTTGCAGGGACTTCTAAGACTCAGTCTGACTCAGAAAGAATACAGGAGGTTTCAGATGCAGATTTGAGATTAACAACTTGACATACATTTCACAAAAGCATGTAAAAAGTCAAAATTATTTTATTGCCTTTCAAGGGACCAAATAAAGCCAAAAGTTTCATATAAATTCTTAGTGTGCAGTAGATAGGAGATCCACTTGAAAAATGCATTTTTTTCAAGTTGGGACACAATTACTACTGCACTGAGGAAAAATAAAACATTTGTTTTTTAGAGGAAATGAGACCTTTCAGTCTTCCTTTACACTCTGCACCTATTTTGTTTTTTCCCAGTAAAGTAACTTGACTGTTCATGAAGTGTGATGTGCCCAGGTGACACACTCAAATTCCCTGTACAGTCAATGGAGTGAGGTAAATAGTTCAAGGCAATTTAGAGTCCTAAGAAGAGGGGAGTTATCCAAGCACTAGAGCGGGAAACTGAACCCTTCTGAAGTGCAGACTGAGGTGATAAGTGCTGTGAGCCATGCAATGAAATATGTTAGATTTGGGGGTGAACCTGACCCGGCATGTGATACAGGATTTCACGTAGCAGGTGACCACCTCCACATCACCTCCAGAACCACGTGGCAGGAGCAGAGGAGGAGAACTTTTGCTTTTCAGAAGAGGCACAGGTTTTAGACATTCCTTAGTCTAAGGAGATTTAAATCCACAGTTCACACATTCCAGGGAAGTGCTAAATTGTAAGTTACTCTGAGAGAGACATTTTCTACTCGCTCTTCTAAACCAGTGTGCAGCAGTCTTGGGAGTAGGGAACTGAATCGGAGGCCAAAATTGCCTCAGCTGAGAGCCCAATAACTCAATTACAGGCAAGTTCTCTTTCACCTGCTTGCATTTTGGCCTAAGCTGAGGATATTTCTGTATATACTTATATAATTAATTCTTCCTCAAACTTGTGTTGGCCACTGTTACTGCTGTGGAAAGGCACTCCAACATTCTGCTTAGAAATGAGACCAAGAAGAACCCTGTCTGTGATTCCAAAGCTCAGCTATAGACATCTCAAATTTCAACACAAACAACATGGTAGAGCATCAGTATTCAACCCATATTGTCTGATTATAAGGGTTATACCTTTCTGTCACTCCAGGCAAGATAAAGAACATCCAGAAATGTATTCCAAAAACAAGGATGACCTGGAAGATGACCTTTCCCATGACAGTCTTTTTGAGGTACAGTGCTCGATCTACCACCATGGTACCAAACTGAATGAGCACCATCACCAAAAATGCCTCTGGAACCTGGTCTTCTGATAATGAAGAGGTGATATCTGCTGCTGCAGAGTGTTTCTGAAAAGAAAAATGTAACAGAGTGGTTGCGGAAGGAGGACACTCACATGATACTTAGCATCTACAGCATGTAAATCATACTGAGGGTTTACAGATAGATGCCTCTGTGACATACCCCAAAAGCCCAAAATCCAAACACAATGATGATGAAGTCCACTGTATCTGCGAGGAACATCAGCACATACACATCGGTCACTGCACTGTAGTCTGGATGAATAAGATTGTAGAAAAACTGTCTGATGGGCACATACACCTGGAGAGTCCTAAAACATAGAGCACAATGTGATTTAACAACAACAACTTGCACTGAAGAAAAGAATGGCTGGTTGTGATATGATTTATGTTTCTAAAGATATCTAAGATCTACTCTGACAGCCTTCACAGGGCTTCACAGACACCAGTCCCTTGTTCTGACTGCTTCTAAACCACTGTATTAGCATTTTTTCAGTAGAAAAATACATAGCCAACCAAGTTCACACAGATGGTATTTGAACAACAGCTGATTTGTCTGATGTTCAGCTGGTGGGACTTAGAGTGAAAGCATCTGCATACCATGAACTGTGAACATACCCATTCACTCCCTTGAATTAACAGTAGTAGTAACCTGCTCTCTTTAAAATGGTGGTTTACTGCTTTTTTGTTTGGAACCTCCCCCCAAACCCACACAACTCCTCACATTGCTCACTTTTTAATTGTAAAGGCTTTGGCTTTGATCATTTGTTCTCGAAACTTTTCCATAAGAAGCTCTTTTCTAGATTTTTGCTTGATGCTTAGCACACTGCTTCCTTTCTGACTGCTGTTTCGTGTACTGGTACTTCCTGGGGAAATAAAGTTAAAGTTTAAATACAAAAACTAGGAAGTAATACATCTTGAGATTTCCATCCCATATAGGAGTCCCGCATTTGAAAGAAGCTTTGAAATGAATTCTGATGCTTTTTTCCAATATGATAAAATTTTGAGAGCATCCAGTAAAGGTTTAATCACTGGCAGATCAAAACTTGATTGATAACTATAAAAAGAGAAGACTAGTGATAAAGGCAAGTATTTGCATTTCAGTTGGTAATATATACATTCAGGCTAGAGTAAGCCTGCCCATTTTACAAGATGGGATAGGTAATCTGTTTCAATATACCAAATCAAAACCTTTTCCCACAAGTATCATCAAATGTAGATATGAAAAATACATATGCTTTGCATCTCCCTCTAGCTTGGAGATTATGCTGAACCAGAAATTCTGGATCTGGGCCACACTGAGCATTCCTTTCCCAGCTTTTGGATAATGTCATTTTAAAAACGCAGTGAATCACAAAGTATGGCTCTCCATTTGAACTTTAAGAAGGCTTGGAGTGTTTTCAAACATGAAGATACTTGGTTCATATCCTACTTCCTCACTGAGGAGTAGCAGCATTCAGCAGCTTCTGAGATCTCCACAGCAACCAAC